TAAGTTTCTCGTAACCGTACAACCCATATTGCATCCAGATATTCACTCTTTAATGGGGCACATTGAGTTTTCCTACAAACTCTGAGGCAGCCTCCCCACTTACAGTTCCTCACTTGACATGGAGATGATTTAGTTTTACTTAGTTCTCTGTCTTCTCCCGTAGCTCCCTCTCCCAGAAGTAAACCCAGCCTCTTGCTGCTAGAATTTCTTTCCCCCTTGGGTGTCAAGATGGCTCAGACCTGGACAGCACTTTCTACACGGCATCAATCGACCCATGAGAAATTTACACATCTGTGGCATCCTTGCTGTATCGAATGGTAGAAATGCAGATTGCTTTACTTTAGCCCATTCCTGGCTATTTCTCAGTCTCTCTCTCCTGTTCAGGTAGGTACAGGGCCATATCAACAAGTCTGCAGGTGAATGAGATGCCGTTCTCCCCTTCTTACAGTCACTTCCGGTTTCTCTAGCTGAGTCTGTTGGAGTCTTGTTCACTTAACTTGAGGTGAGGTGGGGCATAAAAAGGAAAGGAAAAGCTGCTGTAGTCTCCAGAAATCTAGTAAGACATGGCTTAAATGATTCTCTCGTGTTCCTCCTCTTCCCAAGTATTCTGCTTATATGGCCTGAGAATAGGGAGTTGGAGGTTTTGTAATTACCTCCATTTTACAGACAAGGAAATTAAAGAACAGAGAAATAACCTACTCAAGGTCATGCAAAATTAGTGGTGGAGCTGTGATTTCAATCCAGGCTGTTTAGTTCCTGATTCTGTGTTCTTAACTACTATGCTATATTGACTGTATCAAGGTATCAACTGAGGGAAATCAGTTGAGAAGGGAGTTGGAAATACTCAGTTTAAATGAGATCAAGGCACTGAAGAAATGAACAGAGTATCTGAAACTGTGTTTAAGGCTGGGGGACATAAATTTAGGATCTATGAAACTATGAGGCAGGATTTTTGTTTTATGGGAATGTGGAATCTTAGAAGTTGGAAAAGATATAAGAAATACGCAACACAGTTTTTTTCTTGGAGAGAATATGGAAGAAAGAAGTTGTGAACTGAACCATGGGAAATGTTCAAGCAGTGGCAGAGGACAGAGCAGAAAAACAGGGGATTATCAACAGGTCTTGGTAAATAATTACAGAAAGTGAGAGAGGGAGGACTCAAAGATGAACATGGCTTGATCTTGGTGACTAAGAGGACAATAAAACCATTAAAAAGGGCAAAGGTATTTTTGAAGATATATGATGGGTAATAGGAAGAGGGATCATGTCTCTAGAATAAAATCCAAACATCCATCCTAGGAAAAGCACTGAAACTCTCTTATCTGGCTACAATCCACCTTATCAGTAGTATCAATCTTGCCTCCTCTCTTGCTACTTACCAGAATCAGCTAGGACTCTTGATTGCATGTGACAGAAAACCTCTCACTGGTTTAAGCAATAAAAGAAACAGACACAAGAATTTATTGACTGGTTTAACTGAAGTTTCCAGAGGAATCTAGTCCACGTTGGT